TATATATATATATATATATATGTAAAGTTATCATGTAAGCTTTACTATATATAGAATGTATAGAATATATATGTGAACTAATACAGAATTAACATTACCATAGCAACGAATCTGTGTTTTGAAACAAGTCTTCGATTCTTTATGAATGAATTGTCCTAATAATTATCATTTCGAGATTATTTTTAAAGCTGACGAATTAATATTTTTCCGGGTTGTTTTTACGGATATTGATACGGATCTATAGTTATTGTCATTTACTCTATTGTCTATCAGACAGATCAGATAAGATATTTAGATTTATGTTTATTTTTCATAAAAAAGAGTTAACAGGATTTTTTCTGCTTATCAAAAAATATTATATTCATCATAATCATCATGAGTGTTTTGTCTATGGAAGGAAGCATGAATAAGATGCGTCACGGTTTACGAAAAGAGGTAAGAAAATGTTACAGCCTACAAAATTGTACAAAACTTTCTCATAAAAAAATTAAGTTTTTTTTAATTTTATTTATTTGTTACGACTTGTTTTTTTCGTAGTTATTGCAATTATAATTGAAAAATACATATTAATAATAACAATTGAAATAAACAAACAAAAAATTATTAAAAAATAGTACTTCGTTCTTCCATTATTTTGAAAAAGTGAGAGAAGATATTTATAAAATTTTTTATAAAGATTATTAATTAATTAATTTTTAATTAGGAGGAGAATCGTATTTCACAACGTCGTCAAAATATATTATATCTTATATATGATTATCTGAACGAAAATAAGTAAGTATTATAAATATAAATTTTTTTTTATTTTAAATTTATTCATTTAAAATTTTTTCTTGAATATATATACGTATGTTTCGATATATTAAATCATTTAATTTTAATTTATTAATAATTATAAAATAAAAATATTTACAAATTTAAAATAATTTAATTACATCCTTTTTTATATTCAATAATTAATATTTTTATAAACATTTAACGAATATATAATATATACTATTTTTTTAAATGAATGTATCTTATATTTATAAGATAATGTATCTGCTATTTATAATAATTTATAAATATCAAATTCTAGACTAGATAAAATATTTATTTCAAAAAACTGTAGATTCTAGATCAAAATCTAATATTTATATTTTTACATTAAAAATCAAGATATTTTAATTTTGAAGGAAAAATTATGAATTTTGAATTTCGTTTTTTCGTTTGTAATAACATAATAGTATATAATACCAAAAATAAGAATGGAGAAGAAATAGTAGGAGAACAGAGATAGTATACAAATTTGAAAATCAACGCCATCTTCAGATATCGCAAATGAAATACATTTAGAAAGATAACAAGAATTGAAGATTAACGTCATCTTTTGAGTATTTTTAAAAGAGATCTTTAAAATTTAAAAAAATGATGGTAATCCTGAATTATTCTATCTTATCTAAGCTCTAAAGATTTCTTTGATATTCAAAAAATAATGCTGATGATCAATTCTTATCTATTTTTCTACTATCTTTTCCTTTAAATTATATTTTATTTGTGAACTCTAGAGATGAAACTGATTCTACAATTTTTATCCTATATCTATTTTTTTCTCACTATTTATTCTTTCTGTCTATATATATTCTGTAAAATTTATATTCTTAAAAAACGGCTGTGATATTTAATTAAAAATAAAAAATATTTAAATCTTATGATTTTAATAATAAATTAATAATAAATCTTTTTATTAAATTTTCAATAAAATCATTATCATTATATTAATATTAACATAATTTTAAATATCAATATTTATAATTGGATACTATAATTATAAATAATAATATATAAATAAATATATATTGTATATAAATAAATTTAGCTTTAATAATATTTAAATTTATTTTTATATATTTAAATTTATTTATATATTGTAATATTATTAGATACAATAATCAATATTATTTTAAACAATATTTAAAAAATTTTTTTTTATAGTTATACAGAAACTTGCGAAACACTAATCTCCGAAGCTGAACTTGTTTCCGATATTCAAGTTTGCGATAATATCGATTTAGAAAGGATTATAATGGAATTTGAAAGTTATTATCATATGAAATTCAATAAATATCCCATGTTTTGTAAAAAAAATGCAACAAATATAGATAAAAAGTAAGTTTTGTTTATTTAAATTATTCAGTTTTAAAAATTTAAAATTTTTTCTTTCGTAATATTTTATTATTTTATGCGCTTATTTTTAAAAACTCAAAATTATTAAAATTATTTATTATTTGTTAAATATAATTATGAATAATCGAATTGTTCCATAATAAAACTAATACAGATTTCAATTTTAATAAATGATTTTTGTAGAAAAAGTAAGACAAAAGTCACAATGCTTGCCAAACAATCGCAAAGTGAACTAGTGAAAGAAAATAATATACAAGAAATAAATAATGAAATAAATAATATTAATCTTGCAATGACAGTAAAACCGATTTTCTCCAATCAAAACATAGTTAAAGTTTCATCAGAAGAATTTGACATTCCAAAAGAAAAATTTATGCAATCAAAAATATGGAAATGTATCGAAAAACTATATTCAGCAAATTCAGAATTGCGAAAAATTGCTGTCGATATATCACATGTAATAAAAACATCAATTTAATTGATAATAATTCTATAACAATGTATATATATATATATTTTGTACAGGAAACAAAAACAAAATTCGATTATAATTTCATCGCATGTATCTTAATGTATCTTTTGTAATATAGGAGATTGTATTGGAGAATTTAAATGTACATTGGGATGATGTAGTAGGTTTAGATGACTGTAAAACAGCTATTAAAGAAGCTATTGTATATCCTCTTAAATATCCTGTCTTCTTTGCCGGTCCATTTTCTCCTTGGAAAGGTATTCTATTATATGGACCACCTGGCACAGGTAAGACATATATCATTATTTCTTTTATATACAAATAAATAATAATATTCATAAAAAATTGACGAAATAGGCAAGACAATGTTAGTGAAAGCTGTAGCAACAGAGTGTAAATGCACTTTTTTTAATATAACAGCTAGCTCCTTAGTTAGCAAATGGAGAGGTGATTCCGAAAAATACATACGTGTAAGTTATCCTGTAATAAAAGAAAGATCTTATATACGTAAAGTAATTGTGCAACTTTATTATCTGAAATATCTCATTTATTTTTGGAAAAAATATTTTAGATAAAAATTATGCTTCAAAGAAGCATTATAATATAATTAAAGTTATATCCAATATAATATATATATTTTAATAGAATACTATTGTAAAACAATAAAAAACTAATTTAAAAAACAATTATATATTTAACAATTTATATTATTTATTATATATGAAATAAATTTATTTTAAATAGGTTTTATTCGACCTTGCTTATAGCCATTCGCCCACAATTATTTTCATAGATGAAATCGATTGGATAGCTACAAATGTACAAAATAATTCGTTATCTGAACCTGCAAAAAGATTTAGATCAGAACTTCTTACTAAGTTGGATGGATTAGTATCTACTGATAATTCAAATGTACTACTTCTAGCTGCAACTAATTGTCCGTGGTAATGATACGCAATCAATAAAAATACGTAACAGTAATAATATTAATAAAAAAAATGTGAGAAATATATAAAAAATTTTAAGAAAAAGATTCTTATATTATATATTACATTATTATATAATATTTTATATAGAATTTTTATTAAAAAAATGTAAAAACTCTTTTATATTTAAAATATTTAAATTTTTTATTCTTTTATCTAGAATTTTTTTATAATAATGATTTTATTTGATAGGAATATTGATTCAGCTTTACTTAGACGTCTTGAAAAACGAATATACGTGTCATTACCCAATGAAGCTACTCGACTTGGTATATTCAAATTATATCTCAGTGATAATTTATTAAAGAATAAAAATATTGTAGACTTTTTAATGAATTATACTAAACAGTATTCTGGTGCAGACATAAAATTGCTTTGTAAACAAGCATGGATGTTAGAAGTAACTCCAATGTGGAAAAATCTTGAAAAAAAAGAAATATTTATTACAGATTTGAAATATGAATTAAGGAATATTGAAATATTAAAAGAATTACTTAAAGAAACAGTACCTACAGTAACCAATACGGATATATATGATAACTGGGATACAAATAACAAATAATAAATAATTAAATCCAATAAAAACCAACTAATTAAAATATTATTATACTTAAATTTTTTTTAATTTTATATTAAAAGTTATATTAAAAAAATATATTAAATGTCATTGATCTATTATATAGTAATATAATATATATGCAATAATATATATAAATGAGATGTCCAAAAAATATTGGAATATTTCTAAACTGGAGATTTTTGAAATAAAAAGCAACATATTCAAACATTTTCCTTTGCAAAAATTTTCATTATAGTTTTGTAATAAGCTGCCACACATAGCTAATGCTACTATTATTGCATTACTAAACTACGCGCTAATAGTTAATAAAATCATAACGAAAATTTTTACAAATGTTGAAATTACCTTAGAAATCTCCAGTTTATGCATGTTTCAATATTTTTGGAATATATCCTATATATACTATATAATAACATATATCCTTGTATTTTATAATCTTTAAATTATTTTTAGAAAAACAAATGAATCTAATAAAATAAAATTTATATTTCTATTTTAAATAATAATTAATATATATTATATTTTTCTACAACTAATAATAAGATTTTAATAAACCATATAAAATGAAAGAATGAAATAAATAGTGATTTTTTATATCAATATTATTATTCTTATTATATAAAAATTGTATTTCATGTTAAAAGAATGTATAATCAACAATTTTTTCTTTTTATTTGATTCTTCTCTGCTTGTTTTAAACCATGATAATAACCTGTAAAACAAATATTATAGTCCATTATAGTCCATTAAGTTTCATATAAAATAAGTTTATAAATAATTTACCTGTGTGAAAACCACTAATATACCATGACATTAACATACTCGAAAGTGCTTCTGCATCATTATCTGGTAATCTAACAAATTTTATTTAAATTTAATTTTTTTTAAATAAATATTATAATTACATGGATAAATATAAAATGCTTGGATAAAACATTGCATAAAACTTTTATTTACTTAGCCATTAATTGTGGAGGTAAAGGAGGTGCAGGTGGCATTGTATCTGCCATTAAATTAAAAGATGTTCCAGGCATAAATTGATGTTTGTAAGTTTTTGTTTCTTCAGATTCACAATCCATTTTTTCTCCACTATATTTTCTTGAATTCATATTTGTAGAAAAATTTGATTCACTAATCTCTTCATTTTCTTCATCAAATTTATGTTCCATAGCATTTTTTTGTTGAGCTATCTGACTTTGTAAACCTTCTGATTCCAAAAGAGAATTCAATTCTACTTTTTCCGTATTGCCATAACCTAAACATATTAAAAAAAAAATCTTGTCATTTGACAAGTTACAAAATTTATAAAATATATATATGTGATTTTAATATATTTTTTAAGTGATATTACAATCAGATTAAAAATATTACCTACAAATTTTACAATACAAGTTCCATTATTTTCATAAATTTTTGTTATTATTGCTTCATAAATTTCACCATCTTCTGAATATACTGCACGACAAGGTGCCCCTACAATCCATTTCTATTCATAAAAAATTTAAATATATATATTAATATCATAAGTAAATAAAAAAAAATAAATATTTCTTTCCTAATATACTGAATGATTTTTTAATTTTTCTTCCACTTTATAGAATTCAATTAAAATTAATTAAATTTATAAAATTATAATAAAATCATGACCTTGTATGGTTTGCTTGTAAGCTTAGATTGCTTTTGTAACTTTTGTTTGCATTCAGAATTTTTAATGCCTATTCCCATACGCTTGCCTACTTCTTCTTTTGCTAAGTTTATTGCTTTATCATATGCTTTTATTAATGCACTATCATCCCACACATCTTCACTATGCTCTGTGCTCTTTTAAAAACAACAAGTTATGTATTTTATACGAGTACTTATATTTAACTTATTAATAATTATAACCTAAATTTGATATTAAAAATATACACATACATTTCCATTTCCTCGTATGAAAAGAACATTATCATCTGCCATTTTATGAAAATAATTTCATTGAAATATTAAATTTCTTTCCGAAAAATTAATTTGTTACATTTCTTTAAACGCAACAAATTGTAAACAATGATAATACTATCACTAATGCCAACCATAATATGAAAACTTTTCTATGATCAGTAACAATAGATATCTATTTATTCAAGAAATATTTTTTTTTAAGAATGATTAACACCAATTAATTAAATATTCTTATTTATTTATCACTAATTGTATTTTATTTTATTTATAATATGATTATATTAATATTTTTAAAATATTTTTAAAGATTTAATAATAATAATAAAATAAGATTTAAGATATCAAAGTTTATTTATGTAATAAACTAAAATTGTTCTTTTTACTTAGAAATATAAATATTAATTTTATATTTATTAAAAAATTCATTTCTGAAATTGAAAATTACATATATAATTATTATATGATATTTATTGTCATTTTAAATTACAATAATTATATTCCATATAAGTTCGCAATTAATTTACCATATTTATTAGAAAGAACAGCAGATTAGGAAGAACAATAAAAAAATAAAAATATAAAATATAAAAGACAAATTATATTTAGATTTTTAATAGTAAATTGTATACTTTATTACTAAATGAGATAATATATATAAAATATATATTTATAAATAATATATATTTTATAAATTATATTTATATAATATCAAATAATTTTTTAAAAAATTATTTTTTAATAAATCAATTATTTGTAGTGGCAATTCTCATGTTATAACACATGGTTTGAAACACGTGCTCGGTACATGTCAGTTAATACTATTTTATAACCTGTCGTCACAAAAGAACACAGTAGTATTTGATCGAAAGAATGTCGTGAAAGTTCCTGTACAAAGTACAATTAAACTATAATTGGTATTTATCGTAATACTTTTGTGGTATTCGACGTAGTGTCCCATATTTATACTAGTGGAATGGCGTTAGTAAATCAATTTCAAAAGTTTTCGAGATCAATTCTCTGCATTGCTTCGAATTATTCAAAATTCACAAGCAACACAATGTTGCCTTTTTTACAGACAACAAGAGGAACATCAACGACACAACCACTTTCAGAAAAACAAGAGTAAGTGACGCAATTTTTTTTGAAACAAATAGTATTAATAGAGTAGTATTAATAAAAGCAATATTATGAACAGTTAAAAATATAATAATATTAATAAAATAATTATGCAAATCTTATGCATTATAACAATTGTATTTTATTTTTATTATTATAAATCATAAATAATAATAGTATAATGTAATTTAATTTTATTACTACGTATACATATATAATATATATTCGAAAAAAAACATGACGCGTTACATATACATATATGTATATTTATATACAAGCATATACTATAATATATTATAAAACATCATTAAAATTAATTTGAAAATTTTATCTAAATAAAAAAAATTAAATAAAATTTTATGTATAATATATAATATGATATGAATTTTATGAATATATGTATTTATATATATGTATTTTTGAATAATCTTATTTTAAATCTAATTATTTCTAGAGTTAATATAACATTTGTTAAGGCAAGTGGAGAAAGAATCAAAGCAAAAGGAAAAATTGGAGATACTATTTTAGATATAGTAGTAAACAATGAAATTGATTTAGATGGATATGGTATGTTCTAAAAAAACATAATTTGCTTTAAAATAATATAATAAAATATATATTTATAAATAATAAATATAATTTACTTTAGAATAATTGTAAGAAAAAAAAATAATATTTCATATTTTTTTCACTACCATATAAGTGAATTATAATTTTTAAATAAGTAATTTTTAAGATATATTGTTATTTATGTAGGTGCTTGTGAGGGAACATTAACTTGTAGTACATGTCATTTGATATTTCCAAAAGAAGTTTATGATACACTTCCTGACAAACCAACAGATGAAGAATTAGATATGTTAGATCTAGCATATGAATTAACAGACACGTAAGTCAATAATAATTTAATAATTTAATATAAAATAAAAGTAATAAAATTAAAAATAATTTTGTAATTAATTGAAATATAATGGAATTTGATTCGGTTCATTATTATTAAGAAAATTCAGAAATATATACTTACATGTTTAATCACTTTCACATGCATATTATAATATATATGAAATGATATATAATATATATTAAATATTTTAATTATTTAAATAATTATTTTATTAATCTATTTTAAAAAATATTTGTAAATATATAATTTATGTTTTAATATAAAACCAAATATTGCAATATTATTTTCAAAATTATAAAATTATAAAATATAATTATAAAATTTATTTTAAAATAAATAATCATACAATAGATCACTGTATCTTTAAGTAGAATTTCAATTTTCTAGCTCTGAATTTTATGAAACCAAAATTATGTGAATAAATTTTCATAATCTTTTATTTATAAATCCTTGAGCATAAATAAATATTAAAATAACATTTCAGATTTTTTTGGTAATTTTACCTCTTTTTTTCAAAATTTTTCTTTATTATTTCAGCTCACGACTAGGCTGTCAAATAGTAATGACTAAAGAACTTGATGGAATTGAGGTAAAAGTTCCAACAACAATTAATGATGCAAGAGCATAACTAAGATTTGTTATAGTTTAAAAAATTTGTATAATAATTCTTATTATAATGACAAAAAATTTAGGATTGAAATATATAAATAAAAAAGTTCACTTTTAAATGCGAAACTAAGACATATGTTGTAGCAGAAATGACAATTTTTATAGAGAACAATAAGATTTATGTAAAGTTATAATTTCCATATTTGTATATTGTTACTGTAAAAAGCTTATATAATTATGAAAGAAATATATTTTTTTTTATCATTTAAAAGTTAAAATCAAAAATTAAATATATAATATATTTAAATTATATATTTATAAATTATATATTTTTTGACATATATATTAAAATATATTATCAATTATAAAACATGTTATAATTTTTCTGTCTAATTATTTATATTTTAAATTGTTAATATTGTAAATAAGATATATTTATAATATAAACTTTTTAAAAATTATTTCAGTAATAAATTCAAATACATAAATATGTTTTTATTTTATATTATAATATTAAAATATAATTATATATTGAAGATTTTATTTATTTAAGAATTTTAAAAAGATTATTTATTTAATAAGTTAAATATCTTTTAAACAAAAATACTTTTTAAAAAATTTTATTTTATTATTATTGACTTTATTTGCTTTTTTTTTAAACAAAATATTTATATTTCTGAACATTCGTTTTTTTATAAATTATATGATTTTTTATAAATTAGATGCTTTACTGAATTTAAATTTCCATTATCTGTTCAGAATAATTTATTTTTTCCTTAACTAGGTACATACTAAATACATTTCTTGTAAGTACATAAAGCTAAAACACTTTTGTACTATGCTCATGGACCTAACAAATAATTTAATTTGTGTATTGTCATTTGTATATTTCGTTACGTGCAAAATATTCTATTTCTACACTACTTACAAATTCGATATAACATTATACCGTAAAATTTACATATTTTCATTCAGTACAATATTACCCTGCCCAATTTGAATACAATTCAGAACATATGTGATATATTTCTCTATTCCGAATTGTTTTACATAGTATGTACACTGATCTATTTAAACGCGAATTATATCTAAATACGATATGAAAAATTTATAAATGATTTATATTTGTAACTCACGAAGATCATAAATTTTTTCTGATATATCTTGTTGAACAATGAAATAGTAAACAACAATTGATCGCCCACAATAGATAAACAAACAATTTCATTTTTTTCTATCGATTTAATATTATTATATAGCAAATATATAACAATGCTTTGAAAGATATTGAAATTTCAAAAATTTTATAACATCTTTTAAATTTTTATTTTTCTTAGTATTTTTCTTGCTGAGTATATGATAATATTATACATATACTGAAAATCATAATAAAAGTATCAAGAGATAATTTTTTTCATCGGTAGATTAAAATATTTTATAAATATATATTTAGGAATGCTTTCATAATAATTACAATGAAGAATCGTATTAAATATTATATATAATATACTTTTAATCTTTCAAAACATCATATTTCTATAAATGTAATAAGTAAATACTATAAACATTTACCCTGTTCAACAATTTTTCAAAAATCTTTATTTAGTCGAAAAATGTTTTTATATTAAAATATTAAAATTAAGATAATAATTTTTATGTTTGCTATTTAAATATGACATTAATTTTCCACTAATTTCTGTATATCAATATATCAAATTTTTTTTGTTTGTTTGATTTCATCTCTTTCATTCAATGTTTAATTATAAAAAAATGTATAAATACATTACTTATAAAATTAATATTAAATACGAAATAATTAAAAATAAACTAAAAAATCTAGATACTTTTTTTAAAAGAATTTTATATATAGAAAACGATTGGTCATATTATGAATGGAACATGAAAACAATACTTTTTTTATTTTTTAATTTCGCGTTTAAATAATTCTAAATATTAAAGTCTAAATACATATCGATTTTTGATTCGATAACTGTATTTATGAATATAATTAAACTATAATTCTGCGCACATGAGGAGAAGGAACAAACACGTATAGTATACACGCTTAAATAACAAAATTAAAATGATTTATGTTCAATGTGAACTTGATCGAAGTCCTAGTCTCGAATTATAAAGTTTCTATCATACATACATAAAATTCAATATTTAATTATAATTTCTACATTTAAAAAATATAAAATGTTTTATTCGATTCTAAATAAAATTAATAGTTGTAAAAAATGAAAAAAATTTGTAAATAATGAAAAATCGAAATACCACCATAAGTTATAAAATTTAAATTTTATATAATACAAAGTTTTTCTTGTACATCTATATATATTTTTTACTCTTTATAGTTCAAGATTTGCACTTCGCCAATTTTCTTTCTACTGTGCATGCACAACGAGAATTCTATAATCGCTGAATTACGCGCAACAGTAAAAAATTATTCTTTCGTGAAGGCGAAAGTAACCTAGGACTAGAAGTTTCATAACATTAATGATAATAATAGTAACAATAATTTTATTATTAATATTAATAATAATAGTAATTAAGTAATATTAACAATATCAATAATAGTAATAAAATGGTAATGGCAAGATACACGCGAATATAAATTAGTTATTTCTTTCGTTACGTCTTTTGGACGTTTTCTTAAAAATTATTTTATTTGTAATTAATATTAACGAACAATTTTACTTTCTTTTTTGTTTTTCTATTTCTTATAATAATCCATGTTTTTTTCCTCATTTTCGAAATAACATTAAATTACTTTTCTTTCTATAACAAACTTCATTATAAAAAGTCTAATTGACTGAATTTATCTATTGAAACAATTATTCCATATTTCCGATATTTGGAATTTATGCTTTAAAAAAAAAGTTCTTTAGAAAAACTGAATAAAAATCCAAAAAAAATTAAAAAGTTTACAAAATATAAATATTATAAACAACAAGATTATATAATTTTACAAGCAACAGGTTAACCGGGAAACCACAGAAATGACATTGTATACTAGTGCCCACTGTAGGAAAAGAAATGAATTAATCGCTTAACCAAACCGTTCACAAAAAACGATTTTTCTACCAATTAAATCATCCAAATTTTGAAATGAGTCTATAATTTTAAAAATAATGAAATGCTTTTCTCTTTAATCAAAACTTAATTAGAAAATCAATAATCAATCATTAATCTTCAATTCTACATTAAAAACAATCTTTGAATCAAGATTCTAAACCAATGTAGACAATTCATGAGGACTATTAGTAGTTGCTGCACTACTTAAATCCAATGTGGCAGCTGGAAGTCCAGGGCTAACACTGCCAGTCGCTTCCCGCGGCAAGTGTTGCGATCTATTCAATTTATTTCCAGGACTTGGTGGCGATCTATCCGCCGGTGTATCTGGTGGCGTAACTATGTTTCTATGTCCGCTCACATTTAAATGATTGTGCGTCGCTGCGATCGAAGCTGGCGATGAAAGCAACAAGGGCGGTGGGGACATTGACACGTGTCGATGATGATGATGATGATGATAATGTTGGTATTGTGTCGCACGACTGTGTATTGTATGACTGGCATTTAGTTGATTTGTCACAGAGCCAACTTTTGTAGGACAGCCAGCATAGTGGATAGTCAATGGACCACGTAGTTGTTGTTGCTGTTGCAATTGAGGTTGATTTTGGTGCTGCTGTAATTGCTGTTGACGTTGCAATTGTACCGCCGCTTCACATTGTTCGCGCGCTAACGCCTTCACGGCGTTCGTCTTCTCCTAGAAAATAATAATAATAATAATAAAAAAGTTAGTTTGATCATAATGTATTTTATATATATATTTTCGAATTTGAAAGAAAAAAAAGAAAAATAATATTGTTTTAACTTAGAACTTTGTAAATTGATTTCTAAAACATAATATAATAATTGTAAATTTGATTCGGATTTATGTGATTCGAAGTGTCTTTCCTATCCACTGTCAATGAATTTGATATGACATAAAAAAATGTTGGATCATCGAATTCTTTCTTTTCTTCAATATAATTATATTATTAAATATTTTGATATATATAAATATATATAAATATATATAAATATGTTGTATATAATTTAATGACATATGTTATTTTCTGATATTTTTAATATAAAAAATGTTTCAAATATAAAAAAAATTATAAATGGTATAAATAAATAATCTAACTCTTTTACATAAAAAATGTATGTTATCGAATAAGCAAAGAATTCGTAATTGAAATTACAAAATACTGATAAAAAAGGCAATACCGATAATTACATATATTTAATATAGTTTGTGAACAGAATGACGCGACATAGTTGAACGTTTTAGGTAACATATACTGATCGTATACGCTTGCGTAATAAGATTCTCGAAGGCTATTTCTGTAGTGTTTGTGCATTCAGTTAGATTACATTTTATATGAAATTTAGATAAATCGTAGAATAAAAAATTCTTAATATTTGATAACGAATATAATTATGAAATTATTATGTATATAAACATTGCCAGTATAAAATATTTTGATATATTTAAGTAAAATAGTTATTCTATAATATAAATTTGAAATTTACATTTTTTTAACATTTTTTCTTGTATAAATTGATTAAGACAAAATTAAAAAATTATATAAAATTCTAATATTTTTTCTAAAATTTTGCAATTAATTATATTTTTACGAAATATATATTATTATGAAATTTACCATATTATTATGCTAAATTTGAAGAATAAAGTTATATTTTTGAAAAATATTTAAAATAAAATAAAATAAAAAATATATAAAATATATTCTGAATATATAATAATAATATATAATATATAATATATTAGATCTCTGAATGAAAAAATGTATTTACCCTCTGCCACACGAAGACGTTATGAACCATTGCACATCCACAAAACACAATGCCAAGACCTATAAAAACGGACGTGACGATTGCCGGTGTTGAATGAAACTGGATGAATGTGTACAATATCATACCTGAAAGCATTGTTAGAAATATAATATATATATCATACAAATCCAAAAAACAATATTAACATGTAAAAAAATATTTTAATTTCTTTAAATTTATTAAAGCATAAAACATATTTTTTTTTTAATGCAAACAATTTTTTTTAATTAAATTTGAATGCTTAAATAAAATTTATCAGTTTATCACGATCGAAAATTCAAATGAAAAGTATGTAACTAAATTACATAAACTTCAAATTGAATTTCAATTTTTTCATTAATGGTAGAAATATACAATTTAATTTCTTTAAGAATGAATTAATTAAGACTAATAAAAGATAATTATTATGAATTTTTCTATAACAAAAATAACGTTTAATTATAATTGTTATGTTATATTTTATGATTTATATTTGAGTTAAAAGAAAATTAAAGATACATGTATGAATACGACAACATCTTCCAAAAGATAAAATTTGATAGAATGAATAGCCTCTTACCAGTTAGAAAGACAGGAATGCTAATGAAAAATCCTCCGACAGCACATATCCGGCTGATGGATGATTTTTGCAGGTACTTGTTACTCCTAAAACAAAGATAAATTGAAGAAAAAAATATTTTGCGAATCTGCGATAATTAAACAAAAAAATTTTTTTTGAAAAAAAAAATGAAAAATATAATTTAAAGAGAACAATTATATTCATAATATGAAAATAAAAAAATAATATGAAAATATATTTAAATAAAATTATATGAAATAATATGAAAATAAAAAAATGACTATAAAACATAATTAAAAGATTATATATTAACTATTGATTACTAGCTTGTTGAATCATTTATTTTATTTATTTTATAATTATTTGTATAATTATTAAAAATAAATTTATATAAACGATATAATTCTTATAATTCATTTTTTTCTATTCTATCATCTTTCTCCATTTTCCCTTTCTGTTTTTATTTGTCACCATATTATCATAAACATATTATGTATATTCGTCAAACGACAAAGCAACATTGCTCTATATAATTCTCCGCTCACGCACGTCAACTAACCCGACCGCAAACGATACTGGTAATTTCCAACAACCACAAACGATTTCACCGCAATTACCGGTGTTCAAGAAATTTGCCGATTCTCTCTTAAAAGGCTCGATTATACATGCCAGATCGTAAAACGAATCATACCATATAGATTTTCGATGGAAAAACATAATTTGTTTGGATATTTTCTGGTTGCGACTAATTTTCACGCGCTAAAATCATAATAACTGGAATCGAGGAAGAGTAAGTTCTTCCTGGAATAATTCTTCTTGTATTCTTAGACATTCTCTTGAATGTCTCTTTATAACATTGTCAAGTATAGTCGTAAGTCGTTTTTATTTCTGATTATACATCGATGAATGTCCAGGTTTTGAAAATAGTTTTTACAATGGTAGATATGTATGAATACAATTTGTTAAATGTTTTATATATAGTATATTATATTGTATTGTATTTTAATTTATTTATTTTATTTTATTTATTTTATTTATTATGTGCAAAATATGTCACAAAATTTTTGAATTTAATTTAATATTCATTAACATAAAAAAAATATGATATCGATAATTAATAATTTTATTATTGATTAAATTTTTTTATTTTTTTTTATTAATTTTTTCTTATTAATTTTTAACTTAATTGTAATTTTTAATTTTTATTTAGTTGTTATTAGATTAATAAATGATAATAAATAGTTAAATAATGTAGTAAATAATACATATTACAAAGGTAATATCAAAAATACAAAGAGTTAAACAAAAGCATATTTTATCCAATATTGTTTAATTTTAAGCATTTATTATTCTGCAAAACTGATAATATATATTTAGATATATGTTAATTTTAAACAAGTTTCATTAGAATGAGGCAAAATAAAAAATTCTTAAGAAACCGTTGCGTCCATCCCTTTCGAGGTCGACAACCTCTTTGGATATGTTTCAAGAACACCATACCAATAAAACATCGAGTTTTAGACTAATTCCTCGTTGATCTTTTCCGTGCACGTGCGTAAATTTAGCCTTCTACGTTAGTTATTCCGAACGAACATTTATTTTCCATTTTCGTTTTCTTCACAGAAAGAATGATCATCCATAATTGAAATTATCTTATAAAATTAAAGATGACAGATGAGAAAAATTATTATACAATAATATAGTTTATTTATTTTATATCATATTTTATGCTATGATTTTTTAATTTACAAAATCACTTAATCAAAGAAAAAAAAATTAGTAGATAAGCTATTAATGTTGCACACAAATTTGATCAATCTATCTATTTACTAATACTGCAATAAATTTCCATTGCAACATTCCACGTTCCTTCGCCGCACCTTAAACTCCTCACTAGACTTATTTCATCTCAAAGTGCTATATAACTCTTACGACACTGATCAAACTTCAAATTTCATAAAATTCCAAGATTTTTTTAGGTATTCCTTAAAGAGCAATAAATTTTAGTAAAAAAATTGATAATTTGTTTCTAAAGAAATTAAGAAATATTATTATAAGTTAATAATAATATAAATATATAAAGTTATTTGCCTCTGTAAAAAAATTATCTTATAAAAAAAATAATTAACATTAAAAAATTTAGAAATTAATATCTATTAATAAAAAAAAACTTATATACAAATTTTTCTATAGATATTATATAAATAAAAATAAATAAATACTATAAATTTTTGCAAGAAAACCTATAACTTATATTGAATATTAAATACCTTAAATTCCCAATAGAAATTTAGCACACATAATAAATTTCACTATGTGAGTTAATTGGATCGAAAAGATTAAAAGCTAAATTTAGGGAGCATAGTTGATAAAGAATGGCGTGTCACCGCGCTATTAACAATGAGATTGAATGCGCGATCTGAACAATAAATATTAGACGGTTCTCTGACCTGCATTTTCGCATGCAATTTCGACCGATTTAGAAACACGAAAATTTTCTATGAACTGAATCAATTGTTCGAAATTCAGTTCATATATTAATATAAGCACTTTCATGAATTTCATATTTTATCACTTTAATAATTAAATTAATAAATTATGTGCAATTGCAATCAATAATATGTATATTTTAATGTATTAAAATTAATGGCCAGAAATTAATATAATGACAACACAAAGAGAGTCTCAACATATAAGACACAATATAGTTTCATAAGTGACGAGTACTGGCGCACGCGCATTGTCTTTTGTTTTAGACATGCGCGAAAGTTTTATTTATATTCACTGCACGTGAAGTTTAAAGTAGGTTATGTTTACATTCGAAAAACTTTGAAAACAAAGATTTATAATTTCTCAATCATTATTTAAATAAATTTAACCGAAAATAATTACCACATTACACAATAATCTTGATATCCTTAAAAACAGAGCTTGAACAAGAGAAGCTCATTTTACTCGCAAGTTGCATCAGTTGGCTATACGACTTACCGGTGACTTTAGAGGATAATACGGCGAGAAGGTAAAGTCTCCATTCAACGAGATCTCGTTGATCTCGCCTAAGCAGGAAGAGTCTGTCGGTCCTTTGATTTCGTACGAGTCTTTCTATTCACGATCGTGCGGAGCCGACTACAGGCGACGACACGGATCCCCGACAAAACCGTCTGAGCCTATTCAACACGACGTCAAATAGTTTCACTCGAAGAGATGAATGAAGATAAGAATCACCAGAGCGTCTTTGCTTCAATAACAATAACATTTGGTAAATCTTTTTCTTTTTTTTTTCCATTGAAAAAAGAGATTGTAAATCGTATAAGAAAATTATGTAAGTAAATGCTATATAATATCTTCACTTACATAGAGATATCTCTCGAGAAGCTTTTATGATATTGATTAGAGAAATTAGTATAGTTTAATACAAACAAAGACATTATTATTTTTAATATTAAATTCAATCTGACATTTGATTTTGATTCGTTTATAGTGACTTAATACGTTTCACGAAATTTCCGAATTATCACAAATCATTTTTGATAATCTGAACAAATTGGTAACTTATTTGAAAGGCTTACATATCCGGTCAACCATGTATTTTGCGCACTTCCAATTTCCACATAAGAAGCATTCGTTAATTGAATAATCAACTTGTTAAATCATATTCGAAACAGACTATCATAAAAAATTTATTCAGCCAATTATTTATCTATATCTAGTCTAATTTATTCATTAGAGTAGAGTTTACTTTTATTAAAACTGATAAATTATTTACTGAAACGTGCATAATAGAAGTGGTAATGTATTTATTGCAAAATGATTAGAACAACAAAATATTGGATTATTTTTTTAATTGATGGAAAAGTGAGGTTAGTTAACAAAAAATAAAATAATTTTCGATAAAATATACTTCCTAATTATAACTGTTTTCTATTTATCTATTACTCTTTTTCCTAAAGTGCTAGACAAATGATAATATGTATCATTTGTCTATGAATCGATCAAAAACATCCCATTCTTCACACTTTGAATTGCAATAAGAAAAACAAAGTTGTCTCCATATATATAGTGGAAACGTTTTTCTAAGCAATCGAGAATGCGCGAAAATAGCATTACGGATCGGCATTTCTACGGTATGAATTGTAAAATTGTTACGCGGATGATAGATCATGCACGTGAACCGTACCAACTACCGTGAATGACGAATCATATATGTTTACATACATTCTTAACTCTTTCTATATTCTTCTTAATAATGATATGATCGTATCATTACGAAGTCAATATTAGGAAAATGAATTGAACATTAAAGAAATTTAAAAAGTAATACCTGTTTTACTAGAATATTATTCTAGCAATAAATTTACAAATAAAGATTTTATCATTGTATCATGATACTGAACAAAGAACGAAAACGGCAGTTGGTAATATCAAACTACCTTCGAAATTTTCTTCGTTTTTAAATTAGTCTGAACGAAGGAAAGAGAGAAGGTTTAATGATGCCGAAACTAAAAGGTGGCCATGGTTCGTTTGAAACGAACCACGACAACCGTTACGACCGAGTAGCACCTGTTTCTCTTCCTAGGTTACTGCAACTGAACCATTGTATGCTTTTACGATCATTTCCTGACATTTGTTCCTTCTTTTACAGAATAATCAATTTAGTTGATTAATTTTTCATTCTTAAAGATTGTATATTGCCAGACAGATTTTGATAGAAATATATATATTACATTATTACGAACATTTATAAAATTACTGTTTCATTGGCGTAAAAAAATATATATATATATAGTATCATTGAAATCCTGATTGACTAACGTAAATGTTTGATGTGAAAGTTCTATATGAAGTAAAATATCCAAAAGATTACTATATGTTTACTATAATATAGCATTTCATGCGAAATCTGATTAATGCAAAATAAAAATTAAACATACATGATATGTCTGACTGAGATAAAGAATTAAATTAGATTAAATTTTTGAAAATATTCTTGTTTATTATTTTAAAATTGTTACATGATTTGATAAATATGTGAAGAAGTAAATTAATGTTTAAACAATGCTTAAACATAATTCAACATAGTTTATGC